GACTATGAACCTGACCAGCCTCGCCCTCTGGACTTCATTAGTCAGTTGACCTTCGCACCAAATCAGAACAAAGAAATGGAGGAGAAGATTCTTGAGCTCTACAAGTCCCACAGGTCAGTTAGGAAGTTCTTTTGAGTGTATTGTATATGAGTTTTATGTGTCTCCAGCTGTGCTTTTAAAAAAAAAAAAAAAAATTTCCTGTTTATATTTGCACAACTGGACATCACACCGATTTGTACAAGGGAGCTTCCGTTGCGTAGCGTAGAGCAGTTTTACAGTGTCTGTCATGTAAAAGTGATAATAATCCACTTGAGGGTAATCGAAATAAGACCTTATACCAGCTGATTAGAAACAGGGGTTATCTAAACCTAACAAGAGTAAGTAGCAGCAGTAGACGTTTGATAACATAGTCAGATTGTAGGCTCATGTTATCTGTCCTCATTACATCACAACATTTTTAATAGAGTAGAAAGAGATGCACAAAGCACTTTACCATTCCAACACAACACGCTGACTTTTAGGCAGCCTGTAGACGATTGACTGTGTTACTTCATCTTTTTCCAGAAAAGATTTCCAGCTTAAATTAAATTATCTTGTGGTTTGAAGTAGTGGTTTTTTTTTTCCTTTTTTACAATGTTAGAGTAAAATTTATGCTCAGTGTGTCTGAACTGCTACAGTGGAGGGCTGGTAAGGATAAGAACCGATTTTCATATTCAAACATTTCACATACGCAATAAAGAACTTTGTAGTGTAGCTATTGGAAGGCATTAAGAGACTATTTTCATGAACAAAGACTTCTACGTTTGTACGTTCGATTTGAGCCTTAACGGTACATTTAAACGGTACGACGGTACATTTAAGTTAAAATTAGAATTTAAAAAAAAACTTGCTATAATACCATTTAAGCAGAAAATGATCACTATATAGAAATATGAGCATTTTGAATTAACTGAGCCTTTTCTTTGCTTTTCAGGGGAATGACACCAGCACAGGCTGACACCCAGTTTCTTGAAAATGCCAAGAAACTGTCCATGTATGGCGTGGACCTGCACCACGCTAAGGTATGAATAAATGAATGAACCCTGTCCTCTCCATTGTTGTCAACATCTGTGGCTGAGCAGATTCTTTGATGTAGGGAGAGGGTGCTGGTGGGCCTGTGTGTGTGTGTGTGTGTGTGTGTGTGTGTGTGTGTGTGTGTGTGTGTGTGTGTGTGTGTGTGTGTGTGTGTGTGTGTCAGCTGTGCAAACACTTGGGGAGGCCATTACCATGGGAACAGCCAGTGTTTCTCACTGGGATAGCAGGTCATCAGTGTACTGCGTGCATGTTTTCATGTTTGTCTCAGTATGTTTGTGTGTCTTTATGCAGTATAGGCAGAAAAATGAGAGTCTTATAGATAGAAAGGAAGGATGAGAGATTGAGAAGGGGAAATAAATGGAGAACAGAAATAAGGCCAGAGTGAGATGGGGACAAATACTTGAAAGGGGCATGCTCCACTTTTTGCAACACAGAGAACCAAGGCAAAGATAGAAAAGCAGAGAGAGCCTTTAAAATGCGGAAAATCTTTTTTCCTTTTTTATTTATTTTTTTATGGCATACCAAAGATGTGGGAATTCAGGGAGTTGATCTATTTCTGTCCTGTGCCATTAATTTGTTGCACAAGTCTCAGAATCCCCAGGGCCCACAAAGGAACTGTTTCAAATACTGGATGTCAAAACATTTTAAAAGCACAAATGTAACAGACACTGAGTAATAGTATTTCAGGGAATTCATTATTTTAGCTGCGAAAAGGAAAAGATGGACACTAAAGAGAGATGCATTTGATTCGATTCCACCTTGTTCAACATTTTTTTTTTTTTCATTACAAATTATTCTTTTCAGCAGAATTTTCAGCTTCTTGGCCTGTTTTCAGTGGAATTTTCAGTTTTTTCATCTCCTTTTTGCAGAAAGTTTAACAAGTTCACCTCTTTTCAGCACAATTTTCAGCTTTTTCACCTCTTTTCAGTTACCTGACAACCAGTTTGGCTCAGTGAGATGAGTAGCAGCCTTGAGACCAGGAGGCCCGAGTTCACCCAGCTCACGGCAACATTTCCTTTCAGCAGACAGTTCAACCTTTTCTCCTCTTTTCAGCACAAATTTGAACTTCTTCACCCCTTTTCAGCAGAATTTATGGCTTTTCACCTCTTTTCAGCAAAAAATTCTGCTTCAACTGTTCTCAGCATGATTTTCAGTTTCTTCACCTCCTTTCAGCACATAGTTTTACTTCTGCTGTTTTCAGCAGATTCCACTACAAGGCATTCACACTGCATTTTCGCAGGAAATGCAACTTTTACTAGTTTTCTTTAACATTCCCTCTGTCAGTGTAACCAGCCAAAATATTTGAATGTAGCTGCAGCGCAAGGTCAGAGATCGATGAGCAGCTAATAGCATGGCAAGGCCATGTGATGTTTGTGTGCATGTGTCCTGATAAAACTGTCCATTATCCGCATATTGCATTCTCCATTAGTACAACAGATTTTTCCTGTGTTACTTCACTACTGTAATCAATACCATTAGCAGATGGTCTGGGAGCCTTAAAAGCTTTGTCAGTGTGTTAGTCTGCCAGCCAAATGCGTTACAGTTGTAATGAGTGTCACTGTTTGTGTGTGTGGTAATGGTGACCTTAAACAGTCTAATCAATCCATGCACAGTATGATCTGGCTTGGATAAATAGATGGTGTTTACAACAAATAATTAATCAAATTAATATATGTTATGCACATTTGTATCCTCACAGGATTCAGAGGGTGTGGACATCATGCTTGGTGTGTGTGCCAACGGACTCTTAGTCTATAAAGACAGGCTTCGGATAAATCGCTTTGCTTGGCCCAAAATACTCAAGATTTCATACAAGAGGAACAACTTCTACATTAAAATCAGACCAGGAGAGGTATGTATGCACACACGAATAAGGTTTACCTAAGCTATTTATTTTATTAATGTGCCATTTTTACTGTTAAGAAAACGTTTTTTTCTCACTGATATTGTGCTTGATAGACGGAGCAGTTTGAGAGTACAGTGGGATTCAAACTCGAGAATCACCGAGCTGCCAAAAGGCTGTGGAAAGTCTGTGTGGAGAATCACAGTTTCTTCAGGTAGACTGATGCATCCATACTGCCTGTGGAGTCACTTGTGTTATTTTTCTTGAAAAAAAGCTGTGCATCTTCCCAGGAAGTCTGTGAAGAAAGCGTATCTCAAAGTGCGTATTTGTTGCCTTAGACACAGCAGAAACACCCATATAGATAAACCTGATGCCCGTGTTTGCTTTGCGTGTGTGCACATTTGTATGTTGTGTTTGTAGAGATGCCTGAGTATTTCTTTCATATCCTGTTCAAGGAGGAGTTGCCTGGAAGCATTTTGCTTTCCTTACCCATAAACTTATAAATGTGATGATCAGTGTTTCATTGCAAAATAAATTAATCTGAATAAGCTTTAAAAGTCATGTTTCTCTCCAGTACCACCTCATCTCTCTCCATCTCTCTTTTTGTCACTAGGTTAAATGCACCAGAGCCTCCTACCAAGGCCCGCTTTTTGACTCTGGGCTCAAAGTTTCGTTACAGCGGGCGAACTCAGGCCCAAACCCGCATGGCCAGTTCCCTCATAGACCGACCGGCGCCCAGCTTTGAACGCACGTCTTCAAAACGCATCAGCCGCAGTTTGGATGGAGGTAACACACATGAATGCAACTGAAAGTGAGGCATATTTGATGTTTCAGCTTCATTCTGAACTACGTCGAATGAATGGACAGATGGAAGGAATGAGGGGCAGATGGAAGTAGGGTCATGGATTTAGGCATTGCGCAGGGTCGTGTGCATGTCTGTGTTTGTACTGATGGTAAATGCTCGATGCCTGACCAGATACAGGAAATAGCTGGAGCATATGTTTCCTGTCACACAGTGAGAGACGGAGAGGGAGAAAGAAAGAGCTGAAAAGAATAAATGTTCTGTGGATCAAAAGTATGAAAACTTACAACAGAACAGCAGAGTGAAGAGAAAAACGCCAATTGTTCACATTTTGTCAGCACAAAAGTTGTCATTAACATCAGATTTATAAATAACTGTAGTAGATCATCTCATGTAGAACGGTAATAAAACCAGCGTGTTCTCTATGTCTATAGAACTGTGATGTGGTTTTGGCTTTACCTTCTTTGCCTACACATTTGTTTTGTTCTGCTTTGTTATGGAGGGGTTCAAGATTCCCAGATTCCAATTCATGCAACTGTGCACCCCTGTTTAACATGTGGTTATACTGTTAGCTGATATCGCCCCCTGCTGGGTACATTATTCTACTGCAACTTGATGTTTTATACTTGAGTTTATTTTGGTGCATTTACTCTACTACACGTTTTTGATTTTGTTTTTTTTGTTTTTTAATAAAAGAAAGCTTTTTAATAGAGCTTTTATTATTATTTTTTAGCAATTATTTACTTGTTATAGTTATTTACTTATTGAAAACTTGCATAACTGTGATTGCTTTTTCTTTTGTTTCTGATCGCGTAGCACCAATGATCAGCATAACTGAGGCTGGCAGAGAATCAGCTGGGAACGGACGCGAGCCTCACCTGGAGCTCCACTCTGACTCAAAGGTGTGTTCATAAATCAGATGTAGCATTTGCAGGTACAAGAACAGAAATACGAGATAAAAATAGAATGTGTGTAGCTCAGTTCTATTTTTTTTTTGGTTGTTTTTTTAATTTATACCAGTGAGTCTATGTTGTCCCATGGAAACGGTCTGTTATATCAAATAGAAATACAGTATGTACTGAGAGCTATAAATCCAGAGACAGTTTCTGCTGTTTCTTGTTACTGTTGTAAGATAGGAGTGTTTGCTTGCTTTATGTTTCTGTGAAACGATGAATATGTGTATTTTCTTTTCCGGGTTTGCAAAACTGACACTAGAAGTTAATCACGTGTAAACATAACCATTTACGCATCACTGTTGATAATTTGTGGCGAGTCTCCTCCACTCTGTATGTGTGTCTGATGACGATGACTTCTTAACTGTGGCAGGTGAACAAAGTCTGTTATTTCTACTCTACATGTCCCCCGCTACTCATTTCATATGCAAGTGGGTTCGATCAATTAAAGTCGAGAGTTGGGCCTTTTTCAACGGTTTTCACTGGAATCTACAGCTACAAATTCAAATAGATTTTTCTTTGTCCATTTAGTGATCAGGAATAAGTGACTACTGAGACACTGCGATATCAACCTTATCTAAGGCCAGAGGACAGCTATTAATTTGCCTCCACAAAATGTGAATGTATACAGGAGTGGTAGAGGTACATAAACCAACAAAACGAAGAAAGCCTCATGTCTTCAGTCTCATATTTTTAATGGTTTTCTTATCAACTACAACAAGTCTTAACAGAGCAGCTTTTCAAGTAGTCCAGCATTTTGCTCTATTGGCCTAACTGCTGTCCTCTACTGAGGAGCTGTGTCCCTCTTATTCATAGTGCTCACTACTAACTTGAGCCCGTCTCTGAACAATATATGAGTATACACAGATTACTGCTGTGTGCTGCTGTGCATGCCTCCTGTTCCAGCTCCCTTTCCTCACTCCCTCCCGTCTCCTCCTTACCCTCGCTCACATCCCAGCACTTTGGACTTGGCACCTGTCTTGGCCCTTTCAGTGGTGACACACCCTGTTGATACTTTTTCTGCCAGCACCTGTGCCTACTGTTTTCTGCACCTATGCTCTACCCTGCTATGTTCACTTGTAAGCGATTGTGGCGTGTTGTTCACTGACTAATGTTTTGTCTCTTTCCCTCTCTCTTTTTTCTTTCACACACTCCCTTTTTAAAATTTTTATTTCTTTATTTTGCCGTTCTCACACCTCTCTTGCATGTTGCCACTTGTTGCTGCCATTTTATGAAATCTGAATAATTTTAATTTTTGCACTCGATTATTTTGATTTGTCATTTAATTTTAATTTCTTCATGGCTTGCTCCTTCACTTTGCGGGTGTGTGTATTCGGCGTTGTTTGATCTCACCCATCTATCCACTCTCTGGCTCTCTTGTCATATTGTGCCCTCCCTCATTTCCTGCTTTTTCTTCCTCTCCTCTTGTGTCTTCCTTTAATTCTTCCCTCTCCATCAGTCAATCTTCATGTTCCCCCTCTCCTTCTCCTCATCATCCTCACTCTCATCCATCCCACCCTCCCTCGACTCCATCTCCGAGCTTGACCACGTCCTTTCAGATATCTCCGAAGATGAAGATCGTATCGACGACGTGGACTCGGCACACACGCTGTGGACCCTCCCCTCAAACACCCTGTCCCTCTTCACTGATCAGCAGTTAGCAGATCTTGAGCAGCTCGCACAAAACCCACCATCCTCCCAAACATGCTCCTCAGAGATTTTGAAATCTGTGGAGAGCTGCCAGGCTCAAACCAGAGCAACAGCTGGACTGCTAAACTGGCGAAGCTGGTTCTCTCTGAAGGGTGTGGTTAAATATGTTTCTTTTGTGTTTGGCTTTCTCTCCGTTTCAGGAAATGGAAACATGTGTCTGGCCACAGGTGCATTTTCAAGATTAATGAAGAAACTGCACCTTTTTTCTCCTGCTTTGTTCATGATGATGTTTAAGTGGGTTCCAAAATTAAATATTTGCACCATCACTGCCTGGAATTATAGAGCCTCCAATATGATTATGTCCAAATTAGATCAAATCCTTAACATTTTGACATTTAGATGGACTCATTTGGTAGCATTTCTTATCCAGCATCTTCCTCCAAAGATCAGTAATACAGTTGCTGCTTTATGTTCTCGTCCAGCTCAATTGAGTTTACCCAACATATCTTCTCTCCATCCATCAATACTCTCAACCATTGCTTCCCTCTCCTCTCTCCCTGCTCGCCCCTTTTCTTTTCCATCTTGCGGCTCTCTCCCTGCCTTCTCTTGCTCTAACCTCATTGCATCTGTACATCGCTACCTCCTGAATCCCTCCCCTCTGTTTCTGCCTTGCCTGTTAGTCGTCTTCCTCCTGGCAGTGATGCTGACAGCAAGCCAGTCTGTAGTCTTAGCCCTGATTTTAGCCACACCCCTCGGTCTGACCCTGTGCTACTTGGAGAAAGTTGTCTCCAGTCAAAGAAAAACCGCTTTGCCAGTGTTTCTCGATGACGGGCCCGATGATCAGTCTGAGAATCAGTTGAGCTCTGTTTTCAACAGGCAGGCTTCTCCTCTCACACCAACACACACGCCTCCTCGCATCAGGCACCGCACTAATACAGAGGCCACCTGGATGCAAGAGATGTGTGATCCAGCTGCATAAAAGCAACATGTATACACCTCCTGGCCCATATTCCACTCCCTCACTTTGTGTTTGACCTCTTTTTGAATGCATATGATGTCTGTCACCTCCTTTTGTTCATTTCCCCCACCAGCACTTCCTCTAGCTGATATATATTTTTTTCTACCTCTTAATTCCTTACCGTGCAAACCCCAGTGTATTGTTTGAAGAAACAGAGTAGAATAAGATTAAATTAAGAGTTAGAACAGTGAGAAGACATTAAAACTGTATAGCACAGAGACAAATATTTACATTGCCAATATAGAGAAAAGGTCACTTTATTAAGAGTTTAAAATAATGTACAGAAATTGAGAGGAGAGCAGAGAGACTAAAAAAAAAGGCAATGGTAATGATTAGTGATGTTCAGATCATTGTCAGAGTAGTTGCAATTAGAGGTTATTAATTGTAGAGCTCTGTTGTGGTTGCTCTGTGTAATATAAAACTGCTTAATGTCCCTCTAATCAGATGTGGTGACGTAATTATATAAATTACATAAGTGCACTTTTAAGGCAGTATCGATTATTTTTAAAAGTTATTTTCAGTTGCGTAGTTCTGCATAGAAAGGGTGATGCTGAGTAACTAATAGTTGATCACATGTTAGAATTGTACATACAGTTGCCTCCAGATGCCTATAGCACCTGCCGCTTATTGCGTTTGTGTATAATATGTAATAAACATTAAGACTAAACAGTGTTACACCTGCCCTGATCCCTGACGTTCAGCACTCTGTCCTCTACCTCTCTGCACTGATCAAGTCATTTTAGACAAAACTCTTCTAGTGTTTCTGTAGTACCCATCCTGTAAACCTTTAACAGTTTCACTATTTTGGACTTTGAACTCATTATGCAGCTAAGTATAAACGTAAAGCTGTAAATATAAGGCTGCCTTTCAGTCATATGGTAGAAGTATACACACACTGTAAGCAGTTAGTAGCACCTTCTGTCTCCAGATCTTGACCACCTCAGCATCCTTTCCTGTTACTGTTCCAATGGGTTTGGTGCTAAGGTCACATGACCAGCAGTACTCCCTAACACTAAAGGTTGCTGTGGAAGAAAATAGCTTTTCCCATCATCCATTTCACTCTTTTCTTTCTTCGTGCCCTTGCCTCCTTCATTTTGTCCTGACTACCATCACCTTGACTACGACACTGAAGGTTACGGTGGTGGACGTAAGCCCTGGCGATGCAGAGGCCATGCCCTCCCAGGTCTGTAAGGCCTGTCTTTACCCAGCATGCTTTGCAAATATTAAAGAGATCAGAATAAATTGACATTATGCAGCTAAGAACTAGTGTGAAGTGTTTACAACATTGGTTTTATGTTGCAATGGAGCAAACCTGTCCTTATTGTCTCCTCGACTTTACCTCACCAGCACTCACCTGGATCCAGTGAACTTGGCCCCCCTCAGGTTCATTCATCTTATTGGTTATTTGGTTGTGCATTGGCCTGTGGCCCATGTGGGTTGGTTTACTGGTTGGGTTTATTCTTTTCCCAGGGTGAAGTTGCCCTGACTTGAATCTATGGAGGTAGTTTGGGGTTTCTTTTTTAAACAAGAACCAAATCTGGAATTTTATAACCTTAAAAAAAAGTTATTGACTCATGTTGCAGTAATTTAAATTTATACCTCATGCTCTACATTTGAATTCCAGATTGGGTTTGACTCTTAAAAATAGATCTGGGCACTTTCACCCAACTGTTTTCACTTTCAGATGCTCTGCTGTGGCTTACAGTTTCAGTCTGGTTTCTGGTTTGCACCTGAGGTTCTTTTCGTTATTTTTGAGTTTTCCTGAAAGCGCAGTGTGGTTTTGATGGTTTGTGTGAACATCTGTTGGTGTTTTGAATGCTTTGGATTTTGCATGTTTACCATGGGTACGAGTATCAACAACTGTGACATTCATGAGGAATACCAAAATGAAAACATTTGTGCTTGTACCCATCATCCAACGTTCACCCGAGACATTTGGGACATTTTTGGTGTCAACATCTCACTTTTTTTTGGTTATATGTAATTTTTTTTTTTGTTGTTTTCATTCTGTTAGTTTTGTTTTATTTTATTTGTGCACTGAATTTTCACCATACATTTATTAATTTCTTTTGAATTAATTATTATTTTTTTCATTGTGTGCTGTATGTCTGCCTTCCAGAGTTCGTTGAGAGTGCATGGGGACAATATTTATGTGAGGCACAGTAATTTAATGTTGGAGGTTGGTACTGGTATTGTCCGATGGCTGATAATGAGACCTACATGTTTCTGTGTATTCTGATGCCATCAGATCTACAACTATACTGTACAAGACTGCTGCCCTCTCGCACTCTCAGGCTCTGCGTGCATGCCCGCATGTGTTTGTGTGTGTGTATGTTTGTTAATCAACTCTGTACTCAGGTCCAACATCAACAGTTATGATCTTGGAAAGTTGAAAACATTTCAGTGCTAGTTGTCCTCATTCACATGGCAGCTCCTTTGAACAGCTCAACTTGGAAATTTCACTGTTTTTGTGATAAAACACAAATGTCACCTAAACAAGAACCCAATCAACATTTCTACATGTGGAAAACTCACAAGTCATCACCTAATTTGTCCCAATTCAACTCAGATATTTGGCATCTTTCAGCTTGATAATGTAGTTTCCACAGCTCTTGAGTTTGTGGGGTCTTTGTTTTACAAAAAAAGAGCTCGCTTTCTTTATCTGTCAGCAGTGGATGCTAAAACAAGCTACAAGAAACCGCAAGACTGATCACACATTTCATACAATAGTTGTAGTTTTGTGCAGTTTTTGTCCTTTCATTTTCTCGTTGTTAGTTTCAGATTTGGTCTTTTAAATTTCTGTAATATTAGTCGGAATGTTAAAAATTATATTGCATTAGAAACAACACTTTGTGTTGGTAGTTAATTTTTTGTCTGGTCACTGAGTCCTGGGACAACACAATGAGAAAATGAGCTTTAAATGCACTACTGAGATTGTTTACAACATTTAGCCGTTATTTGATTCTCAGTAGTCCTCAACAGTTTGAATTAATCTAGCCAAGTATTATGTGATGGTTATGTTTGTAGCCAATGTTGTCTGAGGGATAGAGATGAGATTAAGGGTTTTCCTGACAGATATAATCCCCAACTAAACACTAAAAAGATTTGCGTATGTGCACAACAGCAACATCAGCCTCTTTAGACCTTTATTCTTCTCCTTGCTCCTTGGAATTAGTTGAAGTTGTGTCAGAAACCTCAGTTTTGTATCTGCACAACAGTACAGCAGAAATGGGCTCTTGCAGAAAATTTCCCTGACTGAGTGTTCACAATGGCTGCTCTGTGAATTGGACTGATGGTGACTTAAATGCATGCTCTGTGCATGTTGATTGCAGTTTTTTAAATTTTATCTTGTTGTATTCTGGATTCTCTATTGGTCAGAAACTTTGATTATTGCCAGGCAGCTGTGTCTAACCTGACTAATCCAGCCTCCCTAACACACACGAGGAGCTTTCTTCCTGTTTTCTGGTGATTGGCTGCCAAAAAGTCAAGTGATCTGTGGTGTGATAACATACTAAAACAACAAAACCTGTGTGTGAAGCATGGGGCTGATAGTGATCCGTTGCACTAGAGTAGTCTACACACTAATCAGTGTTAGCTGAAATGTTAAACGTGGTTAGAGCAGACTGAACAAGTATTTTTCTCCTCAGTATGTTGTGCCAGTGTCTCTGTGTTGGATTAAATCCTGCAGCCTTCTCAGTACATTAAGAAAATTTGTCTAATTTATCTCAATTTCATGAAATGTCTCCATGCTTGTGTGAATGAGATGAGGAACAGATGGAGGCAGACCTGGTGGAAAAGATACCTGATGTGTAACAAAACAACTATTACTAATGACATTAAAGTCAAATGGAAAAGTGAAAACTAATACTAAACTAAACAAATAAACTAATAATAAGTAAGCAGTCAGATAGGAATAAAGGGTAAGGGAGAGGCAGACTAGCACTACCAGCTCCATGCTCTGCAGATGCCATTCCTGGTCTGTTTTAAGGGAAAAGTCCTTACAAGATGGTGGGCCTTGTTTCACTGCAGCTTGCTGTAATTCATAAGTAATCAGCCGTCATGCACCAATTGTGAAACAACTCCAGTAAATCAGTATTTTCAGTGATTATCAAAAGACAACTTAGCTGTTTAAATGTCTTATAGGTCTTTTTTTTACACTATATTTCAACCCGTCGCAGATTTGATGTGACAGAATTTGCTGATAGTCTGATACAGTCAAATGATCAAAATCACCGATATTGGCTGATATGTGGGTGCATCGCTAGTGATAAGTCATGTATATGATTTCAAGGCTTTTTAAACAATGCTGCAGTGAAGCACGGCGTCCATCTTGTTTCCCTTCATATTGACAGACTAATGTTCCTGTGACCACAATTTTTCCCTCCCCGTCCCTTTCTCCTTTTATCCGTCCCCATTTCTCCTTCACTATCCCCCTCCTTCTTTTCCTTCCTTCCTTTTCCCATCATTTTTCTGTCTCTTGATCTTGCTCTCCCTTTTTTTAAACTCTCCTTCTACTCTGGCTTTTACTTCCTCTTTTCCTCTTTACTTCTCACATCTCTTACATCCCATGTTTCCCACATTTCTGATCTTTCATCACTCACATTCATGTTATTCACTCTCTGCCTGCCTCCTACCTCCCCTTATACCTATCCTTTCCTCCCCCTCCCCATTAGGACCATGATAAGACCCAAGAAGAGGTTCTGAAACACCAAGCTAGCATTAGCCAGCTAAAACGCTCCTTTATGGAAGCTCCACCTCCCTCTCCTCCTCAGCCCAACCAGTGGGAGAAACGGCTCACCTCCTCTCCTGCTACGATACGTTTGCAACAGCAACAAGTGGTACGTCTGTCTGGATGTTTTTGTCACTGCAAGACACATGAACTGCAGATAGTTTAGTCTACAACAATAGTGCAGGCGATGGAGCGTTATGCAGAGGATTTCAGTTGTGTCTTTTGCTGTAGAAACACAACATTGCAGTCCCTGTAGTAAAAAAAAATGTTTTGACCTTTTTTTTCTAATTCAAAGTTTTCTTCTTTTTGTTTCGGAGCGCAGTCTGTATCACTACACCCACTGCTTTCTTTTTATCGCTTATATTTGAATGGGTTTTTTGGAGTGTGCCAACTTTATGGCAGCAGATTTTTAATCTGCACTCTGTTACTTGGTGCCGTGGTGGTGTTTCCACAGCGTGTTCATTATAGCTCATCCATCACTTAACGATAATTTCTGGGTTTTCCTTTGAAGAAAACTGACCAAACATCTATAACTGTTCATTCCCTCCCAGCAGGACTGATGTTACGTTGGAGTTTTGACAGCACATGGGTTTCTACTTCATTTCAGTTCTACTCAAAACCAATTTTCTGATTTCTGTCTGTTTCTAGTTTACTCTGTAATAGTGGTGTAACAATTCTTGAAATCCACAGATTTGTGCGTACTTTGCACTTTTGGATCCCCATTAGCTGACGTCATGAAAGAGTAGTAACTTCTTTCTCTTCTTTTGGCTTTTCTCAGGTTATCCTATTTAAGATCTTATCTTCTAATATACACTTTGAATAGGTCTTAGCATCCACAGGTTTACACACTTTACTAAGAGTGTTGCTCAACAGCTGTTTCCCATCCTATATTTACACATCCTTATAACAGCAATGCAAAAACTGCTGTTACACATGCCAAAACAGTCCTTTACTGTGAAGTTTGGCTAATATACACACAGGAAGCAGCTACTAGCTTAACTACTCCTGTGGCTATCATAAGAAGTGACTTCTAGAACTGTTACACCTCTACTATGTAATCATAAAGCATTTCTTTGTAAATCTGTATGCTTTTGAGGATGATTTCTCTTTTGGCTTTTCTCCTATATAAGATCTTGTCGTCTGTCTCATTTGTTCATGCTTCTGTGTGTCTTCTCTCTGTCCTTTTTATTGTGTGTTGCTATAGAGTCTTGCAGAGGAGATAGCGTCAGTTCTTTTCAGTAGACACACTGACATTGGACTTGATTCAACTGCTAAGGCTTCCTGCATTTTTCCTGAACCACCACTAGATGCTGTTAAAACTACAAGTTCAGCTGCTACTTCTTCTTCCGCTGCTGTCTGCAGTTTTTCTGCACCACAAAGGCCTCTTGCAACCCTATCTACCGCCCTCTCTGCCACTGAGGTGCATCTGCTACTACCAAGCATTTAGGAGTCGCTTTACTTTAATTCAAAAACATAAACTACTCAGGATTGTTGGTTAAAGGGGAAGTTAATACCACAATCAAATATACATGTTTTTTCTAGGCTGTAGTGCTGTTTACTTCGTCTTGGCTGTGAACACACCAAAATTGTAATAATGACACATTTACTCACCTGGATGTGAACTCTATGAGCCATTTTCTTTGTACCAAACTACACCTGCCAACCAAAGCAAGGTAGATGCTTCCTTCTGCACAGTGATATGGCTAGATAAAACTACAATCTAGAAGAAATACATGTATTTTTGATTTTAGGGTCACCTGTACCTTTAACCCATTGTCTTTCTGTTTAACTTGAGAGTAAACTGACATTTGTAATTCTTCAGGTATCTAAGGATGCCTGCCAGATGCGTTTACAAACCAAAGGGGTTTAAGATGCCCATAATGCCTGCTGTAGATGCCGGATGAATGGTAGCGATAATTAGTTTGTGACGGCTCCATTCATCCCAAAAGAACGGGCACACAATGACCATAATGCATTTAATCTAAACCTACTCATCTATGAATGGGTGCATGGCTTTGTTTTTTTTAACATTTATTTTTCCCATTTTATTTTGCTAGTGATTGTAAATATGTGTGAATTTAATGCTAATGTACTAATCTGCTCCGTTTTAGGATCTGTGCTTAAAAAATAAATATATTAAAAGCAGCAGGTATTGAAGCAGCAGCTTTCGTAATGTAAAAAGAAAAGCTGAAATGGCAGCCAAATAATGTGCTTGGTTAGTGGCTTTTTTTAAAGGAGCTTTTAAAACTACACAAAAAGGTTTTCAAGTGAGGACTGAATCCATTATGATGTATTTTCGTGGTCGTCTCAAAGATACTGCTGACTTCAATACCACGCTTCTTTTGCCTTTTTATGTATGTGAAGATAACCTTTTTTATTTATTGATGGGGTATTCTCTTTAATCCATCTTTCATCTTTTTGTTTTACCTTTTCTTTTTGGTTCTTTTATCCCGTCTCTTTTCCCTGCTTCAGGGAACCTTATGCTTTATGGGGGTTGCATGAAAAAACAGTCCACCAGGCACAGAATAAGAGACAATAAAAGTGAGGGGGATTGGGCACAAATAACAAAGGCAGCCCATTTCCACATGCCGTGATAACAGACATCTTAATACTGCTAACATTGATGGTGTGTGATTAATAATGTCATGCTAACTTCTCTGTCACGCAGGTGAGTGTGCCCCAAACAGAAGCAGCAACAGCTGATAACGCGATCTCTGATACCAAAGAACCCGCAAAGGTGGTCCTGACCTTCTTCTATTAATTCCTCCAACCCTACATTCATGACAATTTTTATCCATTACTTTCTTCATGCCTTCATTCATTTTCCATTTTCTGTTCCTGCTACACCCTTCATTATCTGTCCTCCCTTTCTTGTCTCTTTGTCAACAGTTCTTCATCTTCTTCTGTTGGTGTTACTTTATTATCTTTTAACTGAGCTTAATTTTTTCCCATTTGTGTTCAATGATCATTTTATTCTTTTGTTTTCTTGTCTCCATGCGTTTGTTGTTGTGGTGTGTGTGTGCGCATGTGTGTTTGCGCACTTCATTGTGTTTGTGTCTGTGAACCGGGTGTACATGCGTGCTTGTGTGTGTGTGTGTGTGTGTGTGTGTGCGTGTGTGTGTGTGTGTGTAGACAACCGAGGTTGAAATCGAGGAAACTGTTGTCGTCCAAGAGATTTCCAGAGCTCCCAAACCTGGACTTGTCACAGTTGCAGCCAGTACCCCCGCTGCTCCTTCTGCAGAGCAGGAAATGAGGGAACAGGAAGTGGAAGTTCAAGAGGAAGCGGTGGTAGTTGAGGAAGCAAAGCCGAGGAAGGAAGAGAGCATTTCATCTGAGAGCGAGAGTGAAGAAGAAGCAGAGTACCATCCATATCTCCCTGTGTCCATCTCTCACACACAAATACCTGAGGAGAAGGAAGAGGAAGAAGAGCAGGAGAAGCAAGAGGAAGATAAGACGCCAGAGCTACAGGTGTTGGCTTCAGATGCTTCTTCTCTTCCAGCTGAAGTCATCCAGCCTGCAGAAGAAACCCGTCGAGAAGAAGTGGAGTCCAAGAAGGAGGACGACACAGAGACAGAGAAGACAACAAATGCCGAGGAAGAGAAAGAAGTTGAGCGTGAGACTGAGGAGAGCACAGATGATCCGATGGTGACGCCCGATGAAGCTCCTAACGGCCTCACCCTGCCTGAGGAGGGTGTGACTGTAATGGATGCTCGTGCAGAAGAAGAGGAGGAGCCTAAAATGAACGGAGAGCCCTCGCTCACTGAAGCAGAGCCGCTGCCACAGGTTATTTGTTGCTCTGAGGTAAAGTCTTCACTGGGCCGACTGCGGAGCTTCCCCGGGCTTTGATCCCTCTCCTGCCAACTATAGAAGCACCCACTTTTTTCCTTCCCTGCTTTTGAGAGCGCCGGTTTCCTTCCTGCTTGTGTGAATATTTAAGCCCCATGTACATCCTCACACTCATCTTCATCCTATGAAAATTAAAGCTTTATATTAGTATGCTCAAAACTGCCGAAACCAAGGAGCAGTGCTTTAAAGTTACAATTCACCACCATTGTTTTGGTGTTCATATTAATTCACCTACATGAATATTTTCAGTCTTTATTTTAATTTACATAAACATACATTTGACTTTCTTTCATATCTGCTGTTGTCAGATACTATTCATGCCATTATCATGTCCCACGCAGTGTGGTGTGTTGCTACTGTTTTTTTTTTAGTGTTGTGAAGTAAATGGGGCCTAAGTGGGAAATGCATGGTGCTGTTAGGTGTGTTTTTGTTTTGTTTTGTTTTTCTTTTTGCTTTGCATGCTGCATTTTGATATGTGCGTATCCTCGGCGTGTTTGGCAGTGATGCTCCTCTTTCTGTTTAATTGGCGTGTTGTGGTCGTCACAGTGACAGTGTTGTGGAAATCATCATTGCCAACCACTCATCTTTGTACCTTGTTTACATTATAGTAGCTCTTTGAGTCCCGCTTGTCATATTGGCTCATTTTTTTATGCACGTTGGTACAGTGCTAGGCTGCATGTGAACGCCAAAGATATCTCCATAGTTGTCCTTCTGCCGTAGCTCTTTTTATTACATTGCATTGCAGATGTTGTCTTACTTGTGTTTCTCATGGTTTTGTCTGCATGGCTTTTGGAGCTCTTGCTTCTGTGCATGAGTTTTGCTGCAGTGGCTCACATGTGCTGTTTACATCTACATGTACTGGTGTTTCCTGCGCAAAAATATTTTCAAAATGATTATGATAGAAGATGATTTTGAAGACAGATTTGTCAACTGCATAGATAAAAATGAATTTTTTTCCCCATGTCTGCCTCAGGTTTAATATATTAACTCTCTTCCCTCCCCCCACTCCTCACTCCTCTCTCTGCTCCCTCCCCAGCCGCCTGTGGTAAAGACAGAAATGGTGACTATATCAGACACGTTTGCAGCCCAGAAAACCGAGATAGCCACTAAAGAAGTGCCCATCGTACATACGGAAACCAAGACCATCACATACGAGGCTGCGCAGGTGCAAACACGAGAGAAAAAAAACGGAGAAGCTTGTTTAGTTTTTCCCCATGTGTGTCACCATCCGTGGTTCATATTGTTTGTGTGAAATATTTAGACCGATCGTTGCTACGTCAGCATTCTCCATGTTCCAAAGTGCTTCCTTTCTAGCTACAGTGCATGACGCCATCTTTTCATTCTGCTCCTACAGGAAACGAGTTTTATTTATTTATTTATTTATTTTAAACATCAGCTAATGATCTCTTTTTGTCTCTCTCAGTTGGATGGTAATGGTGATGGTGAGCCTGGAGTGTTGATGACTGCTCAGACAATCACCTCTGAATCTTTGTGTACTACAACAACCACACATATTACCAAGGTACGAACAGACACACACCCTAAAACACACACGTGTTCATTTCTGTTGAGCCTGTGTCTTTGTGACATAGGGTACTTAATTTCTTTCTGCTATCTTAATTTAAATGCTGTACTGCAGCCATTTGCAAACTTCCCAATTTGAAATGTGGTGATCTTTTGTTGCAGACGCTAAAGGGCGGTCTATCAGAGACGAGGATTGAAAAACGCATCGTCATTACTGGAGACTGTGACATCGACCACGACCAGGTCAGTTTTCAGGGACGCAGCCTTTCCCCTCTGCTTTGCCTCGTGTTCCAACAACTGGGCTCATGGGGTCTTTTCTTCCCACCAAACGTGGATGGTGTGAAAGTCTCTAAAAGAGTCATCTTAGATAAATAAACCACATCCAAGTCCAAACTTGGCAGCTTTAAATTTAAGATCCTTGTTCTGCAGATTGACTCATAAGGAAATAATTTTCTCTCATTTAGAAGATTTAAGAGAATAGATGGGTTTCTGGGACATGTCAATCATGTTACTTGCAGTCTTAATGCTACGTTTTATTTTTGAATCACTTATTTGACTCACGCCATCAGATCCACCCATATTCCACTCATTGTTGGAATCTGCTGCTGTGACTTCTTCACCACATCTTTTCATGTATAAAATGTTGGCATACTGCTTTTTTTTCCTCCTGCAGTGACTAATTTCACATACTATGCTTTTCTGTGATTGTCACATTTCCTCAGTGACAATCAGAGTACAGTAAAATACACACTGCACAGAGGAGATCGCATCTCAGTTAGTCCAGTCCAGATGTATGAAAATTGATCTTTTTTAAATATTTTAAACTAGCTTCCTAAAGACCCCAGCAAAAGTAATTGATCCATTCTGCCAGCCTTAATTTGAGCCATCTCTTAATTATGCATGGCCCTGAGGTTGGCAATTTTTTGCGCACTGTTTGCCAGATTCAGATACTTAAAAAGCAATACCAAAAGTCTCATTGTCCATATTGGGGTGTAGCGATACAGGTACTTAGGCAGTGCAACATTTGTTGAGAGTGGTTGCTTGCAGGTTGCCACGGTCTCCAGTAGATAACATGGAAAACTCCAGAGAGAACTTTTCACCTGTGTGAATAGCTTCATGGGAATTCATGTCAAACTGCATGTAGCCCTGAAATGTTTGGGACGGTAAATGTCTCTTTCATCTCTTTGCATGCTCGTCTTTTTGTTTAAGTTGCCTGTCTGGTTTAATTCGCTGGATTTACACAAAAACAACAGATTTGGATATCACTGAGATGGGTTTTATTTGAGTGAATTCTTCTTCTAAATGCATTTTACTTGATCCGAAGAAGTAAAATGTCACACTGACTGTAAATCCAGCACATATGTCTTTTTCTGTTTGCTTCTTCTTTTATTTTTCATTTAACTCCACCATTTCCCCCCCTCCTTCCCCCTCCACTGCCTGCTGTGCTCGGTGCTTCCACCATGTGGTTGCCCATCGGTACTGCAGGCACTGGCCCAGGCCATTAAGGAGGCCAAAGAGCAACATCCTGACATGTCTGTTACCAGAGTGGTGGTTCATAAAGAAACTGAGCTGGCTGAGGAGGATTGACTGAACTCAGGTAATGATAAAAATAGTAGCTTATCATCATCATCATCATCATCATCATTATTATTATTATTATTATTATTATTATTATTATTATTATTAATCTTTTTATATTTGATGGGGAAAGGTTTATTTAGCGGTGCATGTGGAGAAGCTGCTAAAGAAACCAGCTGCCATCACACATGCTGCAACAGTTGAAAAGAGAAAAAGGGAAAAGAGGCATTAGATTTTGGAAGGAGTACAAGGAGAACATTTTGATTAGGAAACCAGTGTCGTTTCATCATCGCAGTGCCCCAGGCTGATTACTCCCCCACCCCCTCTCTTTTTCCCCAGAGCTGAAGGGCCCGTCATGACTGTTTTTTCTTTGTCGAACGACCTTCATCACCCACGACGATCAGCCTTGACTGACGGGAGAGGAGGAGGAGGAGAAGAAGAGGAGCTTAAAGAACAGGGAGAGAAGGGTTTGACAAATGGACCGAAGTTGCCACTCTCTTCCTTTCTTATTGTCTGTGGTGCGATCTAAATCCCTCACTGCAAAACCAAGAAAAAGAAAAAAAAAATCTCTCATTGTTTCTGAGGGAACAAAAAGAACCACTTTGTTAGCATAACAATTGTAGCTTTTAATTTTTTTTTTTTTAGTTGTGCTTTTTCTGTAACTGTTTTATAAACAGATGATAGCATGTTTGTCCTCTATCACAAAGATGAAACTAGGGATGCACTGATAACCAATCTGGATGAAACTGTATCCTTGCATTGATCATTTTGTACCAGTACTGATGACCTTCAGCTAACGTTTCTTACAAAAACAGCACGCTGAGATGCTCAAGTAGAGAAAGCTTTTTATCATAACAGTGAGGTTATGCACCTGTACTTGGGTTCCGGTGCATTGGCATAGAAAGGTAACTTGTTAAATTACAGCTCCCCCTCTTGCTTCATGGTGATGTAAATGGAGAGTAATATAATAGTTTATAAGGAACATGAAGGAAACAGGATGTCACAACTTGGTCTGCTCTTTTTTTTAATTAATATAACACACTCACTCTCACATATTCACAGGTGAATGGTAGAAACGTTGCACCTCACATTATCACTTCTACTTCCTGATCATTAGAGAAGAGCGGGAGCTGTAACTTCAACATCTGCAGGAGAGTCATCCAGGTCTTTTGGTTCTGTTATTTCTTTTTTTTCCTGTATAGTTATTATTCATCCACATTCCTTGTGTGTGCAGCCGCGTGAGTGCATTTTCAGTTCAATTCACTTTTTTTTCTAAACTGGAAGAAGAGACGGGTTTTGAACATTTTAAATAGGGTCGGCTAGCTTCAGCAGTAGTTCGAAAATGTAGGTGGAATACATTCCATCAATTTTACAGTTTTAAAATTTTTTTAAGCTAAACTGAAGGTGGATTTGAACTGAAAATGACAACTTCTGCACAGTAAAAATGAAGGTTATCAATGGGAGCAGCTTTTTACTCCCCAGGCTCGTCCACTGTACGACACTAACCATTCCCGCTGGGCCTGAGGGGGAGCGAGGGAGACATAAACTGACTTTGGATTGGGAGACCGGAGCTGTAAAGTGAAGGATAATTGGGAGATTGCCCGATAAGTACCAGGGAATAAAAGAGAATTTGAATAATAATGCATGTTTTCTTGCATCCCACAGTGAAGTATTTTAATATTCTGAAGGCTTAATGCATAATGCAAAATTAATACTGCTATTTAAATTATTCAGAATGAGTTTTGTGCTCCAACTAGCACAGGTACCAAAATGAGGATGACTTGAAAGGAGCTCAGACTCAAATTAATGCAGCCTGCTAACTCTGCCAAGGAGCCCGTTTGCCGCCGTAGTTCAGCTCAGTTCATCGCCGGCTTCTTTTCATACCTGCTTGATATGATAGAGTATGGGATTAAATTCAGCATGTCTTCACGCAGTTTAATCCTCCAGGAGTCTCGAGTGAGTCTAGGTAGGACGCTACCACGTCAATTGGTTTGAGAGCGTGTGGACTATCTCTGCTCATACAGCGCGTCGGGCTGCTTTGTAACTGTTTCACTACAGCTAAACGTTTCTCTGCATGTTCTTTTTGTTTTTATTTTGGTTACATTTCATTCAGCCGATTTCCACGTTGTTCACCACAAAAAAACCACAACGCTCTGAATCTGTCACCACACTTCAAACTGAGGCAAAAAAAAACAAAAGTTACAACGCACCAGCCAAAATGCAGCTTAAAGGGAAGTGTATCAGAGGGTTTGAAGTGCTCTTGAAACCCCCTAAATGGAAACTCATTATGTTTTATTCATTTTCTGTCCTTTTACTCTGCAAAAAACAAAAAAAGAAAGTGAACTAAATTGTAGCTTTGTGTAAATATTGGGGGCATTAAATGTGCTAGGTGCTTGGTCTTGTGCATTTACTTTGATGCGCATTTTTAGCATAAGCAGCAAAAAGGCAAAGTCATGTTCTCCTGAAATTTAGCTGATTGTAAGTGAAGAAGTGCCACTGACTTAGTATAATAAACATTCCACCTTAGACTGGTCTGGATTAATCTACGTCTCCCTCTTTGACTGGACGTGTTTTAAATGGGAGACAAAAGGATATTTTATTTCATTTTTAGAAATAAAAAAGGAAGAAAAAACTGCTAATCAGCTTTTTAACTTGATGAGTAATCACTGCCCAATTTGACCCATTTTAAAACTTTTGTAGTTAAGCGTGCTCATCAAACTGAGAGCTGAAGCTTTTTTTAAATCAGGAAACGCAGGTCTGAGCTCTACTATGCAGTTAAATGACATTCCACGAGGGGGAAGCTTTAACCTCGAACCCTCTTGTAAAGAGACAAAGCAGCAGAAAAGCTTTTTTTTTTTTCTTTATAAAAATGTAAACCGTGCAACACTAGGCAGCTTTGGAAGCTTTTGATGTTCCAAAAAACAAACAAACAGAAAAAAAGCCTTTGGTAATATCACAGTGACCACATTTGTAGATTTTTCTTTTTCATAATTTCTCATCTTTTCTCTGTGATCTAGTTGTTTAAAAGTGGGATTTCTTGTTCCCCCTCCATTTTGCATATTTGTAAAATTGTTGCAGTGTCGTTGTTTTTTTTTGAAAACCACTACAAATGGAAATTTCTGCCACTGTTTTCCTTTTTGTACGTTTAGCCCCAGCTTTAACCGCTTTTCCGGGTTCTTCTGGGCTCTCTTAACCAATCACATGAGCTTTGAGGCTGCGGAATCGGATTTTCCCAAATGTGTCATGTTACGTTAGGTTACACCAAGAAAAGTTTTACCAACCTCTACGCCTGTGAATCCACATCAGAGAACGTTAAATCCACATGGTGTCATAGCAGGTTCTAATTGGAGGATCCTCTGAACACTTAAATCTCAGGCTTTGTTTCACACTCTGGAGAAATGGGAAACCAGCACAGTTTTTATATTTTATTAATAAAATAAAACTCACACAAACAAAGGAAACTTTACAGAAACTCATTTTGGAAAACCTACCAACTGCCTCATTGCTCTCTGTTAGCTAACCAGTGATCACCAGTAGGGTTTTTTCTGTCTAGCAGCTTAAATGTCTTGTATCTCCCCCCACACAGCCACTCCTCCCCCCCTGTGTAACACTGTTTAAATAAAGGATTGTTATACTCGCTTCATTTCCTCATTCATTTCCTTGGAAGTGTGATTGAAAATGTGTGCAGCATATTTATTAGACATAATACCTAAAACTTAAATCCATGTGTAAATTATGCTTTTTAATTCATGTCAGTCGGGTGAGGCAGACGACGTCGGTGTCTTCAATGTCCAGCATGGTGTGGCCCCTCAGGAGAGAGCACATAGTGTCATATACAGAGGGTGTTCCTTCATTTGTGTTAAAATGTGTCCGTTCATGACTGTCAGGCGCAGAAATGAGATCCAGCATTTCTTCTGTGCCGTCCTCTGTGGACATGCCTGTGGGTGGTGCTGATGGAGCTTCTGTCCTGCGCTAGCTTCAACAGATCAGCGTCAGCTGTGGATGAAAGATTAGAGATGAATTTCAAACTTTGACCACAGAACAGTTTTCCACTCTGTCTCAGTCCAGCGTTCATGTTCACGTATGGCTTCGTCTTTGCACGATAAAGCTTTAACCTGCATGTGTGGATGGCACAGTATTCACAGACAGTGATTACAGGAAGTGTTCCTGAGCCCATGAAGTAGTTTCCGTGCCAGAATCATGTCTGTTTTTAACACAGTGATGGCAATTAACCTAATTAGTTGCTAAATGTTCCTCTGGCTGTTTCTTTTACTTTCCCCCAACTTTGACACACATTACTGCCATTAAATTCAAAATGAGCTAATATTTTTCATCAAATAGTAAAATGTCTGTAAAACTCTTTCTACTGTTGTGATTTGCCATCTAGAACACAGACCCAGATTTGTTTCTCACCAACATAAATAGAAGCTTTGTGTAATTTGAGCACCACTGACAAACAGTATGCGTTTGATTACCTGTAAATGATTGTAATTAGCATGCGAATAAACAGCAGACAATGTAAAATCACTAAAAATTGCACACTTTCTTGCTTTGATGCCCAATCACGCCCAGCAGTCATTCCCACATGATTGTCTTTTAAAAACGGGTCACAAAAGAGTCATATTTTCTCAAAAAGCAGCTGGAGTTCCCTATGATTGATTTTTCTACACATGAATAATCTTTTTATTAATATATCCACTTTGAACCAGAGCAGATGGTGAAAGCACAGCCATGATCATAACAGGATGTGTGCACATGTCCTTGTTTTACGGCCGCACAAAGAACAAATGGGTCCGATTTATCCGGCAAAAGCAACACCTGTGCACACATATAGATGAAGGAAAAGGCATGTTTCCAGGTTTTTCATGTGTTGAGTAATCTAAAGCCTGTGGCAGTTCTCTCTCACTACGCATCCACAAAAACCAGTCCAGTGTAACTAATTGTCAGAGTGTCGTTTAGTTTGGGTTCTTTGTTGTTTACCTGTGGGTCACGTGAGTTGTAATATACTGTTCAAATAATACTATGAGTGAGTATGAGAAATGCCCACCCTGTCTGAGTTTCCAACTGAGGAGGATGATCAGTGCTAGCAGCAGCAGAGAGACAGACAGGAAGAGCATCAATCCAAACAGCCACACTGGAAAAAAGCTGCCTGCATCACTGTTTGACATTGTGATGCTTCCCTGCAGGAACAGAGCCAGATCAGCCCAGGGAGAAGTCAGCACAGCCATGTTAGTCCTGTGAAGCAACAGAAACGGGGAGAACATCAGGTCTGCTGTGGCGATATGATCGCAGAACACATCAACGCGAGTACTTTAATGTGTCGGACCGACTACAGCTAAGTTTTAGGTTAAATAACAAATAAGTAACAGTAGTGCTGA